AAGTAGTATATGACATGAGTGTCAACGTAATGTCTGGCAGCAGAAGATGGGGGAAGATCAAGAAAGGAAGAGTGGGAACACAATGGAATTTGTATGAAACGCATGAGCAGTGAAATGTCAGACAATGGATTGATGTTTTGCAACAGGAACAGTCCAGTTCGATATGATGGACTGATATTTTGCAAATTAACGATTTACGATATGGTTTTCCTATTTTACTGAGTAACTGTGTAATTTTCGTTAAATACAATTCGGTTGCCCCACCTGTGTTCTCGTTCACTACACCCCTTATGGCAAAAAGCAGTATTCGATGATAAAATGAATGAGAATAAGATGAAATATTAGAAAACAACACTTTTAGTTTGATTGTGTAATATCTAAAGGAACAAAAATTTGATCTATTATAGGTAGCTGGAATGCTTTACAAAGAAGTGAAATAATTTAATGTTACATAGCTAATAGAAATAAAAATAATCAAAGGTATACTATAAATCAACATGAAAATGTTCATAACGACTCTGTATACTTTCGATGGATTAAAATTGTCCAAAATTCAACTTCATATTGTTTGTATATATCAGTAAAATCAGAAGTTGCATCATCAACTTTATAGATACAATCCGAAAAGTAATATCACATTAGTATATTTGACACTTAAAAATGTAGGTGATAGAGTTTATTATGCTTTTTTCTAAGTAACATGACAATGAACCATAGGGGATAGGCAATATTTCGACTCATCAATCAGTCATCGTTGGACCACCATTAGAAACCTGGAAGCAGTGGACAGCCGTTTCGTCCTATTATAGGACTCCTCAGCAGTTCGCACCCATGACTCCTGTATCTCGCAGGATTCGAACCCAGGACCTCCGATTTTGTGCGTGAATACCTAACCCGTGAATCATTGGGCGGACATCCAACGGTGTTAAACTTCAATTCTGATTGATCTGGAGATTGTGCGCGACCTCACTTATTTTTGTTTGGTAGTTACTGCCTACATCCAACAGGGTTGAGTCCCACTGGTCTCGTCTTCTCACTAGAACTCATAGAATTTCTTTCTGAAGCTAGTCTCTAGTGAGCTTCCGGGTTTCTAATGTCGGTCTAACAATAATTGATTGATGATTTCAATGAGTAAAAACAATAATTTCCACAACTCTAATTGAAAAATATTTTGACTACTGATTATTATTTGATTCAGCAGAGTATTTGGATCTTACATACATATAATCTTATAGTGTTAAGCTTCTAAAATCCATATATTATCTCACATTGTTTCTAACAACTAAGTCCATTTTTGAAAAACTGATCAAGTAGGCGTGTAAAGTTTTTAATCAATTTTCACTGGTATACCTAATAAAGTTGACTGAGTACTTGTGCCAAGTTTGTAAATCATGTATGAAAAAAACATTCTAAAAGTTAAAATGTTGAACATTTCATTTCATTTCATTTACACATCATAGATATGATCTCATTAACTATTCACTTTACTGAACAGTTAACAATTATAAATTCAGTAACTTTGTCATCAGGTATTTTATTTGTAAAAAAAAGTCAGCACATTCATTATATCTACACAGATTTGCTTAAGAACAAAATATTTAATTCTTCCATTTAGTATCAGTAATAAAGTTATACTTTGTAGTAGTTTGTAGAGTAACTTTTATTGATTGAAACTTTTTATTATTATTATTATTATTATTATTAATTCGGGCAGTAATCTGTTATAAGTCAGTGTAGTTCCCACTGACATGCTTCTATTTCATTGATCAATATTATTTGTCAGCTTATCTATCATGTGATTAATGAGTCATCAGTAATTATTGATTACTAATATATGAGACGACTGTTCACTTGTGGCAGTTTTTACTTCTCTCCTATCATGAAATCCAACAAACGATTTGAGTATTAAGCAAAACCTTACAAGTAGAACACCTGAATAAATTATATTATTGACTAGAGTGTCCTAATTAATGATAATGTGAATATTTTATAGAAAGAAGAATCTAGATCTGGAAGGAAAATGTATAGATTGACTTAAAATTGGTCCACCTTTACATCTAAACAAGAAAGAATCAAGAAGAAGATAGAAAACAATTTAAACAAACATAACCATCGGAGATTTCACTAAATATCAAACTATCAAGAAAACAATGAAAAATTGAAGTTAAAAGACACGACTGACTGTGTAAATTTACACTACGTAGCTTGATTTAAAGTTTAGTTTATCAACGATTTAAAATGGCATGAAATCATCTAAAAAATTATCTCAACGAAATTCATTACATTTCTTAACGTTTTTATGACATAGACTTAAGAATAATTTTTGTTACATAGAACTTTCAAGAATTCAATTTAGATAAAAGTTTCTGAAAGTTGATTTAGTCAATTTAATTGAAAATATTGTTGAATTAGGTAACCACATAATCGATAATAAGGTCACAGTATAGTCACAGACCTATTAGATCTTTAGCGCAAAAAGGCCTGTTTATATCAATCTGACGTTTAGATGTGAATCAAATAGGCGTATATTAAAACAAAGGTTCAAACCTACTATGCAGCAAATGTTAGTAACCTAAAAAGCATTTAAACGATTATATCACGTTCCATTGAGGTTTTCAGTTTAAGTAGCCACACATATATAGAAAGGGGTAATCGTAATTTGTTAAATTAGGTTGCTTGAACATATCACTAAATGGCTGCAAAAACAAATGAAATCAAATGAGGAAATTCTCGGAGTTCTAGCTGAGAAGACGTGACCAATGGAGTTCAATCCTGTCGGGTGTAGTCAGTAACTACCAAAGACAAATGGTTGAGGTCGCGCAAAATCTGTAGATCAATCAGAGTTAGACATTAACGCCGTTGGATACCGACCCAGTGGTCCGATGGTAAGGCGTTCGCCTACAATGCCAAAGGTCCCGGGTCCGAATCCTGCGAGGAGCAGGAGTCGTGGATTCGCACTGCTGAGGAGTCCCATACCAGGACGAAAGGGCCGTCCAGTGCTTCCAGCTTTCTAATAGTGTTCTAACAATGATTGATTGATTGATGATTTCAAATGTGTAGAAGTCAAATGACTTAATGAGAGTAGATGGTTAACATGCATCGTCTTCTATTACCAAACATAGAGTTGAAACAGGTCATAAGATTGATTTTAATTCGGCTTTTGTTTTGTTGTATAAAGTTGTTAAAGTACGTATACTAAGGTTTATTGAGGCCGTAGCCACACGAACGTCTAAACCTCCTTTATGTATTCAGAAACGGTTTGTTCTCACCTTAAACTAACCTTGGTAATATTGTGTTATTATCCAGGGTGGTGAGACCCACATTGTTTTTTCACATCGATTTTCATCCTTAACCTTACACTTCATTTATCAAGTTGACCTTTTATTTTCATAACTGTTCTTAACAAGTATATTTGTGATCAGATTGTTCGAAATGTATTGCACTAATATATATCACATAGTTTTGATAATCATCATTGTCTCGTTACACTATTTAAATTTATCAAAGAAACTAATTGTTTTAAACAAAATCTTTACTTTTTTTCTTGGACTCAGTTTCTAATCCTCGGCTGTGATTGGTTACTGTGTCATTTTAGTGTGCTATTTTTGTGACTGTCCCAAGGACGTCTCTATGGAGTATAAATAATCTAATCCTCGGCTGTGATTGGTTACTGTGTCATTTTAGTGTGCTATTTTTGTGACTGTCCCAAGGACGTCTCTATGGAGTATAAATAAACGCAATTTGAGTGTTTGGATTCATTGTATGCTGGCTAGGTGTTTTTAGAATACAATTTCTACACTATATCAAGACTTCTTGCCGATACAATATGGTCAAGAGATCACAGCAGCCTACCTGGACGCTGATTCATTGTTTTGTTCCCGTTATTCGACTAAGGTGAACTCGTAATAGTTTAAGCATACCTAAAGTCGAGCATAACAATACGAATGACTTAAAACGTTTTAAAATAAAAACGATAGTAAATATGATTGTTCAATAATAAATATAAGAATTCATCACACCTTAAACTTTAATTTCAAACTTTACTTATGACTACAAACGATTTTTTGGCACTTCTTTCCACTGAAAAATCTTGCTTCCCAATGTACATTACTGGTTAGACTTTAGATTTTAAGAAGGCTAAATAAAAACTATTTGACAGTTAATCTATGTTTATAAAACGGCATGTTTTGATAAACGAAGTGATATGCTTAACTGTCATATTTCATACAGATTTTGTTGAACTTGTCTCATAGAAACCTCTCCGATATATTTTGAATAATCACATCGTACATTATATACATTATACAATATATACCACGGACTGATCTTACTTACGTAACCTTTGAAACCAGAAAGCCATGAATAGCTGTTTCATCCTAGTTTGGGACTTCTCAGTATTTTGCACTCACAGGGTTAAACTTGAGATCTTCGATCTTAAAGCAAGTGCTTAACCCATAGCAAATCAAGCTGACATTTAGTAGTTTACAAATACCATTTGAACTTCAAGTTTCTCATCTCGAAGTTAGTCGCTAGCGATAAAAAATTTAGTCAAAATTTATATTGTGGGATTTTCGAGCAAAACGTTTTGAAACACTTTTCATTTATAGAACGGTTTGCCACTGTCATGAACAAATTTTTTTATTTTCTGGGAACGATGAAATGTATCCGACCAACTAGACTAGTCTTTACTGCTTACAAATTGTAGTGTAAGTCATATTCAGTATATTGAATGTACTGCTTTATGGAGTCATTTCTCATGCAGGAAGTGATTATACTTGATAAAATAACCCAAAGTCAGAATTTACTCATTGTGATTTTTTGGAAACTCTTGAATATCGTTTTGATAACTTGAATAAAAACATTTAAGAAAATTAATTTATAGGGTTTTAAAATATTTGCTTGATTTTCTACCAGTGTTGTTTTATTGTGACAATAGAATATGTATGTATTTATGACTACTTATACAAATATTATAAACACTTAATTACTTTTGTACTTAGGTTACACGTCATGGGATAGCTCATAAGTCTGGACTTGAACCTGGAGATGTAATAGTGCAAATTTGTGCAACTTCAGTCCATGGGATGACACATGCTCAGGTGAAAGCCGAAATTTTAAGAGCTGGTAATGAGTTAGATTTTAAGGTTAAAAAGTAAGTATACATTTTTATTTGATTCATATTGCATAATTGACAATTGAAATGTAATCTATAAAATTAATATTTTCATTATAGGGTTGTGTGAGAGTTACCCACCAAGGACAATGGATGAAATTGCTTAATACTGTGGATTGATTTAAGTTAGACATTAACACCTTTGTATACCTGCTCATTGGTTAGAGGGTAAGCGTTCACGCGCGGGATCGAAGGTCCTGGGTTCGATTCTTACATGCGGGGCACTGCTAGTTAGTTCCATAATAGGACGAAACGGCCATCCAGTGCTTCCAGGATTCTAATGGATGTCTAACAATGATCGATTCATGATTCGAATGAAAATTTATATTTTCCACTGCTCAGAGCTAATGACATTTTACTAAATGTGCTTCATTATGAAATATTAATCAATTGAAATTAGTTAATTAGTTAATTAGCTGCTTTTGGTTGATCAGATCCTTATTCAGTTTTCAGTGAATATTGTTTTTGGATTAGTAATTTATTAGTTAAAATTTAGTTCTAGTTTTTGATTTAATGAATTCAATCGGGGTTTGCCCGGTTTCGTTTACAAATATTTTGTTCGACGTTCCAATTCTTAGAATTCTATCCATCTTTACATTGAAATAAGAATCATGCCATTCTAACCATAAACAAAAAGAAATAAACTATAAAAAGAAATACTTTTTATTCTAAGCTTACTTACTTACTTACTTACGCCTATTACCCCACAAATGGAGCATAGGCCACTCACCAGTTTTCTCCAACCAACTCTGTCCTGAGCTTCCCTCTCCAGTTCTGTCTGTCCAATGTTTGTTCATTCTTCTCATATCTTTCTCTATTTCTCGGCGTAATGTATTCTTTGGCCTTCCTCTTTTCCTTTTACCTTGAGGGTTCTAAGTGAGGGCTTGTCCTGTGATGCAATTAGGTGCTTTTCGCAGTGTGTGTATTCTAAGCTTAAGGTTATCTATCAATAATAAGATTTCCTACTTTTTTTTCTTTTTACATTTCATTCATTTTAGACGTGATTTCAATGTGGTTGCATACAATCAAACAATGCAACAAATAGCTGCTGCCAATCGACCAATCGATGTAGCTTCAAATTCACCTGAACCACGTGCTGAAATAGTGGAAGAACATTTATGGCGACATGGTGGTCCAACATTTAAAAATGTTCAACCAAAATCATATAAAATCCTTGAACAACAATTGCCACAATCAAGTATGGGAGGTAAGTTGAAACACCTGTTCACTATGTGTAAATTGCCTTTTGTTTACTGATTAAGTTAATTACTTACTTACTTTACTTACTTACACCTGTTACCCCCAATGGAACATAGGCCGCCCACCAGTTTTCTCCAACCAACTCTGTGTCCTGGGCTTCTCTTTCCAGTTCTGACTGATTAAGTTGATTCACATTAAAATTACAATATTATTTCCTATAAGTTTTATGTAAGTATTATAATTAGTCATGTGAAATAATATGAATTTTATTTAATTTTTTGGAAAAAATAATAATTACTAATTGGTCGAGAAATGCTGACTAAGCAGGTATAACAACTTTGATTTTTACAATGTTCTAATTGAAGAAATCATTCAGAAACATTATTGTTCAGTGATTATATTTTTATTGAAAATTAATTAAAATTTTGAAATACTAATTCATTAGTTTAACTTCAAATTATTTACTGTAAAATATATTTATATATGATTTAGAAAAATTTCTTCAGTACAGAATAATATTACACTGAATTAAGTGTAATAATTTTTGTAAAGCTGGTTAATTTTTATGATATTCACCATATAGATATAAAGATTGTTGTGAACACTGGTGACTAGCTTCGTTAGGAAATTCTCAGAGTTCAACCCTGTTGAATGTGGACAGTAACTACCGAAGACATTAGGTGAAACTGCGCAAAACCTTACTGTAATCACAGTTAGACATGAATACCATTGGATATCGGTTCAGTGGTCTGGAGGTTAAGTGTTCGCACACGAGACCGACGGTCTTGGATTCGGTTCCCGTGAGCGGGAGTAATGAATGCGCATTTCCAATGAGTCCCATGCTAGGACGAGACAGTTTTTCAGTGTTTCCGGGTTTCTAATGGCGGCCTAACAACGATTGATTCACGAAATTCAATAGAGTTCAAATAGCTACTTAAATACTTCTCTGTAAAAGCCTGAACATTATGAGAATTATAAGCAAGCTACATTGTACAATATATTTGGAAGTATTATGAATTTAATTCCTCATTTTGACATGAAATATTCATTGTAATAACTTAATTATTAATAACAAAAAGCTAAGAAATCTAGAATGTTACTTTCCAATGTAAGTTATTAGGTTTAGACAAAAAGAATTCGGAACCAGATTACTCTAAATAACTAGTCAGACAAATTGTCTGGTACAGTACGTATATGCCAGAAATAGTTATTAGTTTTATTCAGTAAAGAAACAATCTATCAAAGAGTACTTTCAGTCAATAAAATACTTTTAATGGTTATCTATCAATAATTTATTTATCTGAACATATATTAGGAAATTAATTAAGATAATCATAAATGGATAAACAATAAATTTGAAATCATTAATCAATCATTGTTAGACTACCATTAGAAACCTGGAAGCACTGGACGGCCGTTTCGTCCTGGTATGGGACTCATCAGCAGTGCGCATCCACGACTCCTGCACCTCGCAGGACTCGAACACGTGACCTTCGGTATTGTGCGCGAACGCTTGACCATCGGACCACTGGGCTGGCATCCAACGGTGTTAATTTCTAACTCTGATGTGTAGGGTGTAGGTAGTAACTACCAAAGACAGATGGGTGAGGTCGCGCAAAATCCACAGATCAATCAGAGTTAGATATAAACACTGTTGGATGCCGACCCAGTGGTCCGATGGTTTGGCGTTCGCGAACAATACCGAAGATCCCGAGTTTGAATTCTGCGAGGTATAGGAGTTGTGGATGCGCACTGCTGATGAGTCCCATTCCAAAACGAAACGGCCGTCTTTCAGTGCTTCCAGGTTACTAATGGTGATCTAACAATGATTCATTAATGATTTCAAATGTGTAAAAAAACACAAATCTCCAAAACTCTAACTGAAAACAATAAATTATTTCAGATATTATTCATTCATCAAATAAGTAGCATATTGAATAAGCCTGTATTTTTTAAAAATTAAATCAGCGGTTTGAATATGATATTCACGAATAATATTCAGGTCAGAGATAAACCTTTAAAACAAAAATACCTAAAGAAATAAATGTAGTACGTGAACTGAATGCATAAAATATGAATGCAAGATATATTTGATGACTTACAAATCATTTTAACTAAAAATATAATTTGATAATGTTTAAATTATTCGAAAAAGTTTATGAAAATGTGTGGTTGACACATATCAAGCTAAAATAGGCTGTGACAGAAAATATTATGTGCTCACTAATAACTGTGTTTGAGATGAATTTCCAAGATACTTTTAAGAAGATGTGAATGATGAAGTTCAGCCATGCTGAAAATGTGCGGCAAATATCATCAATAATATTCCAAATATATTGAATTCAGAAACAAAGGCTTGATTTTAGCCTTGTATTCCGAAGCTTGACTGATCTACAAGGATCTTATTTTTCTAACCAAAGTATTGTGTACAAATGCATTGAGTACTGGAACATGGTACAAACTAAAATAAGTTAATCCTTGTGTTCTTTGAAGGTTAACATGTTGTTAAAGCATTGAAATGTTGTATCCATAAGTAATTATGTAAGATTATACATCTCACTAGTATACTAACCAGAAATTCATTTTCTAAATAGACTCTCTGGTTATCAGTTAGTGTGATTGCTAGCATTTAACTTAAAGACCAATTAATACAGATTGATTTATTTTCACTGAAAGACACAGCTAGTCGATATGAGTTCTATCTCATTGACCATTCCAAGTGCAATTAAAGCGGAATTGTTACAAAGGTATCCATGCTAGACAGTTTTCTTTTGTTGTGTCCATCAACCGTCAGCTGATATCATGTAAAAGAACCACCGATCGGAACACAATTCTGTGCTAATAACCTTTAGTCATTAGCTCAGTTTCTGTTGGTCCAAATACGCTCCTTGACTGGCCCATTGAGTCCAGCAGTCCGTAAACAGCATCCGTCATAGGACTCATATGTACAGATATATTTGACCATATATGCTAAAAATTCATCAATTAGTCCTAAGACATACTATTTCTTCAGTTCCCGCTTTGATTTGACACTTCCTCTGGTTATTATCATGAACAGCCTTTCATTTCATATTTATTTCCGAATAATTACATTTATCTGTTACATAAATTCTCATTTTGGTTATAGCCAACAATTACGATATGACAGGTAATATTGGTATGGTATGGTGGGTTGTGTTTTATGCCCAATGAACTGATGTAATAGATATTAGCTATGCTGTATTAATAAATAAATACAGTAAAGGCTTAATTATTATTTATAAGCTTGAAATGAGGAGCTGTGCTATTGAAATGGCTTATTAAGTGCTTTAGATTTCTTTTTTTTTTAATTAACTTTATAGTCAGGAAATCGATAAGCTTATTATATCACAACGACACTTCCAGTAGATTTTGCTTTCTGTCTGGATTCAAATAACCAGATTACAAAAAGCTAGCTGCCTGACTGTATTCTGCATGCTGAATTTTTGGTTTATATTTTATTAATCAATCCAAGTACTTATTTTGCAAAAAAAACTTGATATATTAGTGTTCTATAGTGAAAGTGTTCAGTGAACAATCGTATTTCACTAAACTGATAAATACTACGTTCTCAATCTATCTGATGTTTTAATCTATATTTCTACAATTTGGATTCACTATGAGAATAGGAACTGAAATGTAAGACTTATCAACAATGTATCATTTTGGATCGTATACCATTTCAAAACAATATTAATACTTGAAAGCATCAAATGAGAAGTCATCAATCCTGATACATAATTGTGATTTCTCAGCAGTCAGTTTGACATGTAAAAGAAAAGAAATATTTACTAACAAGCGTATTAAGGTTGTTTTTTTCTCTAAAGTCTTGGCATGATTTTTTTAACTGCATGTTTGACTATGCTAGGGAAAATTACTTTATAATATTAATGATTGCGAATTCGAGGTTATTTTTTTTTATTTAAGTTGGGTCAGATTTTATACCATGGTTATATAGCTTACAATATGCAGTTTGGTTTTAATGAGGCAGATAATTGAAATACATAGATGAATGAGTAATAATTGTAATAGAGACAGATGATGTGCTTGTGTGATGCGAGCTACTTATAAGTAGTATATGACGCAAGTGTCAACGTAATGTCTGGCAGCAGAAGATGGGGGAAGATCAAGAAAGGAAGAGTGGGAACACAATGGAATTTGTATGAAACGCATGAATAGTGAAATGTCAGACAACTGATTGATGATGGATTGAAGATTCGCAAATTAACGGTTACGATATGGTTTACCGATTTTACTGAGTAACTCTGTGATTTTCGTTAAATACAATTCGGTTGCCCTCACCTGTGTTCTCCTTCACTACAATAAAGCTTATATGCAGTTGGTTTTAATGAGGTAGATAACTGAAACACACAGATGAATGAGTAATAATTGTAATAGAGACAGATGATATGCTTGAACTAACTAATATTTATGAAAATTTCACTTTAACACTATAAAAGTCCTAGATATAAAATATTGAGGCTGTCTAACGATTATGAAGCGGTTTATTGAGATAGAAAATTGTGTCTGATTAATTATTTTACAGCCTGATTTAAACAAATTACCAAATTTCAATGGTTTTATTTTGAATATAAACTAAATATTTTGAAACCTATGTACTTTATTTTCAAGGTCCTTCACCAGGTTCTGTATTCGATCGCAGTATGGAAGAACGATCACCATATTTACAAGCTACTGAGCCAACTATTCAAAAAGCTTATGGTGAATCTTAAGTCTACAAGTTAACGAAACACCCAAAGACACTTTCTTTTCTCTCATTGTTCCGATTAAAAAAAAAAAATACAGTGCCACAAAATGACCTACATTTATAATATATATATATATATATTCATTCATTTTTTTGCTTGATGTAATTAGATATTTAACTTTCTATATTTATATACAAATATTGCTAATGTTGTTTATCCGATGGCATTACTTCATATAATAAACCATATATATTGCTCATGCCTTTCCCCTTCTCTTTCTCATTCCTTCCTCTATCTATCTGTATCCCACCCAATGTATTCACTATCTAAAGAGATTAAACAATTTCTCTTATGTATAAGTGTTTAGTGTTTTTAAAAAACGAGATAGAGATACATACCCTTCAAAAAGTAAATAAAATTAATAATTAATTTTACTTCTATTTCATTTTCTATCGCTTTCTCTCGTTCTCTTTTTTTTTCTGTTTATTTTCCTGCCCTAATCTATCAAAAGAAAACTGACTGAACAGAGTTTTCCAAATAAACATCTTATTTAATAAAGTTAATCGTTTTTAAAAATTAGATAGTAGATTGTATCTGAAATGTAGTACGTAAACCAGTCAGTCAGTTGCAACGTAAGAACTTCGTACGTATGTACATCAGTTCATGTTGCCATACTACATTAGTACAAAGACGCAGATGTCAAATCAAATCCCATAGTGATAAAGATAGTAGAGGTATTAATGGTAATGAAGAAGAATAGGGTTTGAAGATATTATTCAAGAAGTATAATTAAGTGAAATAAGGTTAGAAAGAAAAAGGTAGAGGTGTTGACAAATCCAGAAGATTAGGATTTGAGAGAGCTCAAAGAATGGATGCACTTGCGCCATTGCAAGCGATTCTCAGCCATGTCGTTCAAGGTCTCTAACCATTGGTGACTTTCGTCTCGCGGACCCCAACTAGATAGCCTACATCTACCTACATGACTCAGTCCACTAGTCAGTGACTTCATGGATTTCTGCCATGTTTTGGTCTGGCCGTCCCTAGCTTTCTTCCAACCTACTCCTACACCACAAAACATAGCTCGTCGAGGCAGTCGGTGGTTAGCCATTCGTAACACATGTCCCAACCACCTCAACTGATGAATTTTCACCACTTCATCTATTGATCTGCCATCCTTACCTAGTAATCGTTTCCTAATAACAGCATTGCTTACTCGGTTGTCCCACGATATACGAGCAATGCTGCGGAGGCACCTATGATCGAATACTAGTAACCTACGAACATCTACTCTTAACGGCTATGTTTCACAGCCATATAGGAGAACGGAGCAAACTGCTGCGCAGTACACCCGTCCTTTGGTTAAACCAGTAAACAGCGATATGATATTTTGTAAACAATAAAATTGTAAGAATTTATCATTAGATTTTGTACTCATCCCTTTGAAAAAGGTAAACTATGCTCATAAATATAATCATTATTATTTAAGCTTTCATTAGTTAATTTTAGGGATTAATTCTTTCAGCTGTACGTTTTTCTCGATGGTATGTAGGAAAGATTATTACTATTTTTCAGTACTGCTAAACAATAACTGGTACAATTGGTTACAATAATAAATATTTTCATTTCACCAGTCGCGTTCTCTTCATAAAAGTATTCCTCCACTACACATGAGTGCATACATTCTAAACTAATCGAATGTTGATAAAATTCCCATACTAAGATGGGACAATTACCTAAAGTAGGGAGAGATAGTTTTTTGAATGAACAGTAAAATATTTTGTAGATGTAGAATTAGCCAATGTGTGTGGTAAACATTGGTTCCAGTGATGTATCGATTATTTTTGACCTCTAGAAAAGTATCGATTAACTTTTGAGCGAATAATTACCATGGGATAAATTGCTGCAAAAATACAGTCAGAAGTTTTCATAATTTCCGCATGAGTTTTTAGTGCTGACCGAGTCGAGATTGACTATGATCGCTACTAAATACTTATTACAAACCCGTTACTGAGAAGATAAATAAAACCAGGGTAAAGAATATATTTTCTGGCGATTTCGTGGTGTCGAAAGAACACCGAAATCAAACCAGAAAAGATGGGCGAATTTACAGAGTCATTGGAGCAAAGAACGGCAGCAACACAAACAGAAAGTTAGTGCGTAAAAGTGTGTTACAGACAAAAAGTACTACTACTATTTTTCAGTACTGCTAAACAATCACTGGTACAGTTGGTTATAATAATGAATGTTTCTATTAAACCAATCTCGATCTCTTCATAAAAGTATTCCACTACAAGTTATATTCTGTTTACAAAACTACTTGCACTACTACGTGTTTCGTGAGTTAGAAAAGGATACTAACGTCACGAAGTTCAAACATTGTTTTATAAATGAATTATTAAAATTTATATTTAATAATCATTCTATTCGACTCCGTCAGTAGAATCTTAGGGGCTACTGCCGGTCCCAAGCCCGGGTAAAGGAGGAGGGTTGGACATGGGGTTGGCGACCCCATTCCGTCGAAATCTCACTTGCCAAAAAAAGCTAACCAGAAAAAATAATTCAAACCATTTTAACTCTACCCTAGGAGTTGGAAGAACAATTATGACGTTGCGTGATGAAAGCCGAGTTCCCTCGAAAGTCACGGGACCGATGCTTCTTCTGACAACCAGAGCAACCATTTTTTAGGTACATGGAACGTTCGTACATTGTGGGAGACTGGAAGACTATTTCAAGTTGCGGCAGAAATGAAAAGATACAACCTCGAGGTGCTCGGCATCAGTGAAACGCATTGGACACAGGTAGGACAACTGAGACAATACTCAGAACCAAATCGACCATATCTGTATCAATAAAATGTTCAGAAGGACCATGGAGGATGTGAGAACCAAGAGAGGAGCTGATATAGCCTCAGATCACCATTTGCTGGTCGCCAAAATGAAACTGAAACTAAAGAAGCACTGGACAACGGGACAGACAACATCACAGAAGTTTAATACAGCCTTTCTTCGGGATACCGTAAAACTCAACGAATTCAGGATAGTCCTCAGCAAAAGGTTCCAGGCTTTGCACGATATACTCAGTGGAGAGGAAGCAACATAGGAGAACAATTGGAAAGGGATCGAGGGGGCAATCACTTGGAGGACGTTAACACCTTTACATATCTGGGCAGCATCATTGACAATCAGGTGGATCCGATGCAGAAGTGAGGGCACGGATTGGCAAAGCAAGGGCTGCATTCCTACAGTTGAAAAATATCTGCAACTCCAAACAACTGTCAACCAAAACCAAAATCAGGATTTTCAATACAAATGTCAAGACAGTGTGGTGGAACGCTTCTACGAATAAAATACGATTTGTGAAAAATAAACATTATTGTACTCGTTTTGTTTAACTGTACCAAAAACACTTCTTCGACTTCTTGCGCGCAACGTTCTCTTCGCGTTGCCGCCATGTTTCTCTATTTGCTGCTCCCTATGTAATGCCAACGTTCTCCTTCAATAAACAACTGAACTATGGATTTATTTTGTTCTGCTTTTCGTCACGCGACCGCATGGAACATTTAGTGGTGAGCATAGTCAATCTGGTATCCGGACTCGCTCACTAAAACAGTTCTACTGTACGGAGCGGAAACTTGGAGAACTACGAAAGCCATCATCCAGAAGATGCAAGTATTTATTAACAGCTGTCTACGCAAAATACTTTGTATTCGTTGGCCAGACACCATCAGCAACAACGAACTACGGGAGAGAACAAGTCAGATTCCAGTGGAGGAGGAAATCAGGAAGAAGCGGTGGAAGTGGATAGGACACACACTACGAAAAGCACCTAATTGCGTCACGAGACAAGCCCTCACACGGAACCCTCAAGGCAAAAGGAAAATAGGAAGACCAAGGAACACACTACGCCGAGAAATAGAGAAAGATATGAGAGGAATGAACAAACATTGGACAGAACTGGAGAGGGAAGCCCATGACAGAGTTGGTTGGAGAAAACTGGTGGGTGGCCTATGCTCGATTGGGGGTAACAGGCGTAAGTAAGTAAGTAATGATTCTATTCAAGTTTTTATCAGATCTGTTGGTAAAAGTTCATCAAGGTAAAATATATGTTAGATTGATGAGTGTGACAGGAAGAACCGAAAGTATTTGAAGGATTATAAACAAACATTATGCATAGCATAACTTTTACTGGGTTTTAGATTTATTTGTTTTACGCAAACTATGAACTTGTTTGTTTATAACTTGGATCTTGAAAGTTTCTAGTTCCACACTGTTTCGGTTCGGTATTTGGAAACTGTACTCTGGAAACATAAAATTGAAGGTTTGTGGTGAAATTTGTCATAATAATATTAGAAACATACATTTGGGTTGATCAGTTGCAATTTAGTGATAAAGTTCTGGTAGATGTTTTTGAATTTATTGTTTAAAGATGGACTAAAGCAGAATTTGAACGTAATCTAAAAGTTGTTCACAATGAATTACTGAACTCCTTACATTTTGAATCGAATTTTAAAATCATTTTATCAATGTTCTTCAAAAAATTATTCTGAATTCATTGGAATTCGCCTCGGTATAACCGTTTGTTTATAGCAAGAATATACCATGAAAACAGGGATTAAAATGTCGAGGTAGATTTTAGAATCCGAAGGTGAAATTCAATAAGCTATTCGTGAATAGTTTGGTGTTAATGAGCGAGAACATGTGTTCACAGTATAAGTTTTATTCTCCTTAGTTCTGGTAAGCTCAAGTTAAGTAAAGCATTACTTACCAAGAATCAAGAAGAGAAAAGAAACTCGGAAGTAAAAAGGAGACCAAGATATTGAAGGTTTAAACTTAACTAAGCTTGCTGTATTTAAGTGTTTGGTTTGTGAGAATAAACATGACTAGTTGTCTACGGATACTCTATCGAGCTACTGTCGAATATTGAAGATTGCATCTATTTGTATTGTCACGTGAACTGTGATGGAGCGAGATAAATTATGTATGGTTTACTTAGGGCAGGAACACCTGATTACCCCGGGATTAATTATACTTAACCATTAACCTGCCGGATGTTTAGTAAATAACTTGACGGACTTTGCAATTAAGCTGCTTACTATATGCGTGACATTGGAACAAATAGGGTGTATCCTATGGAAATAATTGGATTAGATCTACTGATGGATAAGACGATCATTGTCTTGAGGTGGTGGAGAAAATCTGTAGCTCATGGTTGACAGAGAAATACACATTTAATATTCATTTGCCTTCATAAAAGGGTAAGAGTTGCTCAAACACGGTGAGTGAAAAAATTATGAAGGCCAAGTTGTTAGGAGAGTAGGTCTTTATGTAGTTAAACATGAGATAAGCAACTGAACGAAATTTGTAAATTGCGAGTTTTGTGAAGAAGGTGACAAGGTGAAAGACTGTATAGATTTGTTACAGATGAATGTTATAGAAAGGCGACGGGGAGCGGGAAGACATGGTCTCTGTTGTCTGTGTCTGAGAAATGGTCACATAGCTATAGTGTTTCTGATACTATTGACGTATGGGAACATAATTAATCAGTTGAGTTTCAAATTTCAGGAAGTGTAGATAAATATAACAATCATTAGAAGCATTACTACTAATAAATGTCTGAAAATACATTCACGGACTTTTTCTCAGGAAGATAGTGGATCGGCGTAGACTGGCACAGCTCACACTATCAAAACGTTACCGATCTGTGATGCAGACCCCCTTAATGAACATCAGTTTAAACGAAAGGGAGTATTTGAGGGATATAATTTTCAAGGGTTGCAAAACAATGGTTTCGGGTTGATGTCAAGCCTCAAACGCACATATGGTTTCAGAACAATGTCTGGGTAACGGAAAACATCAGTTATCTGTGAGTACGCGTCGCAGATGATAAGGGGTCAAAAAGGTGTAGAAAAATCGCTACATCAAGTCCAGTGATATAATTGTTCTTTAAATTATGATATTTTACGAGATCTAGAAATATTGGATAATCATGAGTGTAAGGTTTTGGGTGATCATAAGGAAGATTGTGTCGTAAACATCAAAGCTTTAGAAACAGTTGATGGTCATCTTACTTTGACGGATGGCCATTTCCTAATTGGTTTTCCTTGAGAGTATGAAGAACCAAGGTTTCGGAATAGTTTTGAACTAACTAACTAGAGAAAGATTACCGTATTTTAAAAAGAGGTTTGTAAGGGATAATAGCCATGTGGCTAAAAACCGAGCAATAGTGGATACGAATATGAGCAAATGCTATACCACTGAACCTAGTTAAGTAGGGTTTGACTCCGAACTCGTTTTTTAGTGCATTCAGCGTTATCTTGTCTTATTCAAGGTTAGGCTCAAACAGTACGATACTTAGAGCTTACAGAAGCAGTGTCACTAATTTGCTTAGGAGCTGAGTTACAATTTCAGTTATATATAGGACTTTTAGGGGTGAAATTTCGAACAGCTCCTTCTCACTGAAGTGAACCGTTTGGGGAATGTACTCTGTAAGAAAAACAGAAGCTTTTACATCCAGAGTCATTACGTTTGACATCGGTGAAGTTAGGTCTATAAAAGGGTCCACCTTTTCTAAGAACGATGAAAGAGCGGTGCTCAGGTACTGACATTGTACAAGTGCGTAAAGTCAAATAGGTTAGTTGTTTAGTGTATCATGGTCGTGGAATCTAGTGTCGATGAACTTGTAAGTTTTTTTATGATTGAACTAATCTACTATCTGCAGATATATGATCATGAAAACAGTAAAAACAAACTATGCTTTTTGTGAAAAAAGGAATTGAATCGATTATCATGGTGTTCATTAGCTCTGTCAGCACAAGAGTGTGTAGAATAGAGATACATCAAGATAGTGGGCCAAAATTAACGAGAGCTGAAAGTAAGTTAGGGAAATACCTTCAGCGCTGTTCATAAGAGCGTTTATAAATAGATCCGGATGCCTCTCATCATTATTATTTCTTTCTTTCTGTCAGTTTATGTCACTTCAAGATGCCTTCACATTCCATACTGACCTCGGCATTCAGACCTTTCATCATAATAGCTAAGATACTTCTTGTACGGTCCACTAAGATCGAATTCAGAATCTCATAAATCTGAATTTTATCAGCCTTTTATTCTTGGACGTAGAACTGAATTGTATTGATTGCAATCCATTCCCTGCTTCATTTTAAAAGACACTTTGGTGATCCTGGATACGTGGTATTTCCATCGTAAAACAGATATTCCTGTTCCGTTGGAGAGCACCAGTGCAACTCTGTTATCAAAGCAGAAAGCAATAGTTTCTCTCCTGACGCTATTTCTTTCGATGTAATTTGTGGTTAAAAGGTCCTATTTATTCTGGACATTTCCATGTTGTGAACTTTTATTTGCACAACTGTTTGAGTGGTTTCCTTACATTGCGGATATTTTGTGTACCGTTATTAACGGTTGAGGTGGTTGTCAAAAGAGGTATTGACCTAGCCGTTTTTGACGGATTCTGAATCCTTCCGAAAGGCGACTTCACTCCAAATATGCCACGAATATTCATAACTCCATAATAATGTTGTTTGTAACACTATCATAATCAAGGATGCTAGTCAAACCGGAAGTCATCGGTTAAGGAGATCGGGAATTTATTTAGAAGATAGTTGGTACGTCTAGATAGGTCTAATCTAGTCTGGCTAGAAGCCGCTAAGAATGTATACTATGTTGAATCCAATGATTAATTGGTGCTAGTCCATGGCTAGGCGCCTTCAGTAAGGGAGTGTAAAGGTGGAACTAGTGAGGTTGGCACCAATGTCGAATACTTATGGAAAAACTTATTTCGGGCATTTGTTTACTCTACAGTCCAATTGGTATCGCAGTAGGTAGTGATGTTTGTAAGGCTTGGCCAACCAGAGTTGAACATAAACATACCTCACATTTGTATAGTCTTGATAGCTTGATTGGCTCAACAATTTCTGGTCCTCTCTTTCAACCCTAAAGAGTTATGGGGTGTGCAGTAACAGTGATCATCCTATTTCATGTACAACAAACAAGTTCTATTAATCACATTCTTCTACTTCTCATCTTTCACGGACATCTTAGAAAAGAAAGAAATATTGGTGTAACTTCATGCGAAAACGCACTCATACCTAAGTAAAAACGCACAAAATACAAAAACACAACCCAGTATGTGTCCGTATATATAGTACGGGTTTATATGGACGATTTATCTACCGCCAAAATTCTAAATGAAGATCCTTCAACTTCCAGAGCAATGTTATGGTGATTAAAATGATTTTTCTGAATAGAGTTCTTCAGGACTGTTCTTTTCTATGGGATAAAGCTGATGACTTTAGGCTTAACCTTTAGTCTGTACACGCGCTTGAGTTCAATATAACTGGAAAATCCACAAAAATATTTATTTCGTTTGAGTAATTGTCCTATAACGTCCGAAAAGATTTGATATAAACCAATATGAACAACAATAATGAATGCTTTAGAACCGATATTGCTCATATACTTCTGCGAGATCATTCAGACTTTTAGTTTTGATGCCAGTTATAAGTTCGAAAAAACCTTGTTTATATAGTTACAAATCAATCAACAAATGGCCCTGATACAAATCAAATGGTTTGCGCGCGCGTGTTACCAGATCCCGTAGGAGTTACATCTATGGCTTCAGACAAAAATGTAGATCAAGGGGATCAAACTATTGTGTCGGAATTTTGTCATCTTTTGGAAAAGTCAAAACAATTATTTAACGGATTGCGGTATGATCATCTGTGTTAATGTATTACATAGGGCTAAATATTATAGTCATATTGATCTATTATGGTACATATTTCTGTTTTATTTCACATAATAAAAGCAAGGATAAGCTTATAGCTGTTTTGTTAGAGCATGCATAGTCGAGGTGCTCAGGCAGTTTCTCAGGTTTTACCTAAATAGGCCAAACTGGAGCTGAAAAAACTAGAAAACTTTTGAATGATTATTCAAATTACTGAGTTAAATTTGTGAATATGTCATTTAAACTGGAAAGTTATCGCTTCCGCTTTCTGGTTTCTAGCTATCTCAAGCTTCGGCGGGTGAAAGTTCTGGAGTGTATATGACCTCGACTGTCCTGCTTATAAATTTATTTCGTTTAATTTATGTCCGTTGTGATTAAAACATATTGGCCCGAATTCCACTTCTTTTTCAAGTTGCTTCATTTTGGAGGGTTTTGCAAATCCTTGACTATCTCATGGTTTTCTGCCACTAAGGTTCTCCCTGAATTTCAGAGCTTGTTGCTTTATTCGGAGTGCTTTTTCGTTCCAAAATTTTGCACCGAACATTCTTTGTCTATATAGTTCGAATTTACTGTACACGTAATATGTCAAACGCACCTGGTACTGCGAGGTTTATTCTAGGCTGTATAGCGTAGTTTGTTTATACTAATACGCTTGCTTCTTGCTAATTCAACACTGTCTACATCTACCGACATGATTCAGTCCACTTGTCAGTGATTTCATTGATTTGTTCCATGTTTTGGTTTGGTCGCCCTAGCTTTCTTCCGACCTAGTCCTGCACCACAAAACATAGCTCTACGAGGCAGTTGGTGGTTAGACATACGTAACATGTTCCAACCATTTCAACTAAAGTTTCACTACTTCATTTACTGTCGTTTCCTAACGACAGCATTGCTTACTCAGTTGTCCCAGGATAGACGAGCAATGCTTCGGAGGAACCTATCTTCGAAGACAAGCAATCTGCGAATGTCCTCTGTTCTCACCGGTCTTGTTCTGCGTCCGTATAGTAGAGCGGAGGAAACTGCAGTACACTTGTCCTTTGGTCAGCAAAAGTATATTTCGCCTGCGCTTGGCAAAAGCCAATCGAGCCTTCTGTATCCGTGCAGACACTTCGTCAGTCACCAAACCATCGGCACTGATGAAACTCCCCAGAAAAGTGAAGCGGTCAACACGCTCGACTACTTCACTCATTAGTTCAGGTGCCAATGAAACTCAATCGTGAAGCAACATTTTGCATTTCGTGGGTGAGAACCGCATCTTGAACATGCTTGAATTGTTGCTTAGGTTAGTCAGGGGACTGCATTTTGTCAGCGTCTTCAGCGAATAGGACTATGTCATCGGCATACTCTAATTCAGCAAGCGTGTCTCCTGGTAGAAGGTCTACTCCTGAAAAGTCAGACGAAGATAATTCTAACTCTAGAAGCATGTCTACGACAAAGTTAAACAGGGATGGAGAAAGTGGACATTCCTGACGGACACCACTTGATGTAGAGAACTCCGGTGGCAGTTCGCCATAAGCTCTCAGTCCACCAGTGGTGTTCGAGTAGAGAGCCTGTATAAGGTTAATGTACTTCTTTGGTACGCCTTTCAATGACAGACAATGCCACAGAACATCACGATCAACAGAGTCGAATGCCGCTTTAAGGTCGAGAAATACTACCATTGTGGGGCTTCTGACCGTGTTTCCGTGTTCCAGGACCTGTCGTATTGTGAAGATGTGGTCTATATAGCCACGTCCGGGTCTGAAACCAGCCTGTTTTTCTCTAGTCTGCTCTTCACGAGCTTTCGTTAAGCGCCAAAGTATTATTGAGGCCAGTATTTTAGATACTATGTTAGTTAGACTTATTCTTCTGTGATTGTCACAAGAACACTTTTGTCCCTTCTTATAAATTGGAACAATCAGTGATTGAGACCAGTCGAATGGGATTTCGTCCAGTCCCCAGATTCTACCTAAGATCTCGGTCAATCTAGCTGTTAAGATTGGCCCACCATCCTTAAAAATCTCGGGTAATCCTATCAGGCCTTACTGCTCCACCTCGCTTCAGATTTATTGTAGCTTTCTCAACTTCATAAAGACTCAGAGGGCTTATATAGATTTGCCATTCAGGATGACTGGAAATCGTGGGCAACCGAAGTGTGGCTGAAGGTCAGCTGAACTGATATCTTAAGTTTTCTGCCCATCGATCCAATCTCCTTGATTGAGAATGAATAATAAGACCATTCTTTTCTGAGATAGTTTCGCTAACAGATAGGTTTCTAATACCGGTTTCCTTGATAAGTCGGAAAAACTGTCTGCTGTCGCCTATCACCACTGCCTTTTCCTCTTGCTTTCTCTACCCACCACTGTTCGCGATGATTGCGTAGGCTTTTTATCAACTTACGCTTAAGCCAACTTCCCTCTTCGTCATGTTCAGAGTCAGGTGGGATGGGTTTACGAGAATCTATCAGTTCGGTGTGCGCTACTAAGATCCATGGCTTCTTAGCGTTATGGTTTACCTTACTAGCAAACGTCACTGCTGTTTCCACAGCTTTTTGGATATCATTCCAACCTGCCTCCGGAAGGTAGTCGCTTACATGGTCGTCCAACTGTTTGTTTAGTTGTTCCTGAAATATGTGCAAAGCTCTGGTATCATTCATTAGGTAGGAACCTAAAAGGTTTCCTTGTCATGTCTGCAGTCAGCGGGAGCTTAGGTAGATATGAGGAGGAGGCAACGGTGAGTTTTCCTATCTTTCCGAGTCCTTACTGTCCCGTTTAGTCGGACAGCGTACCAGCAACTATCTGCTGGGATCCAGTCTAGGAGAGCTAGTTCTGACCTTGAACTTGATACTTGACGTACACCAGAGAGGCCAGGGGAAGCACCAGTGGGGTTTCCAGATACACGGAGCGTAAAATGAGTGGGTCTTTTTTTGGACAAATTGAAGTCAATTTAATCACTTTACTCGGATCCTGCATGCGCGTTTTTGAGACTCAGTATACATATATTGTGAGATTCTAAAGTCCTAGTTAATGAAGCCTGTTGCCCTATTTGTCACAAGGTTTGAACATTAAAAGCTCCAACATGCTGTTTAAAACGGAGTTTTAGGATATCAGGAATAACGTTTCGTGAACTCGCATTGTTTGCATTAGCTGTACACTGTGATAAATGAATGTGAGAAGAGTTAGTCGTGGATATAAGATAGAGTTTAGGGGGTGTAGGAGGGATTTGGTTATGACCAATTCGGTCTCATGTGCTGTTATGGGTTAGACGGTGGATGTCACTTCCAGGCTGCCCACATTGTAGAAGGGTGTTTCTTGAAGAAACTGAAAAGGAAGATAGATTAGTGTTGGTCTCAGAGACCTGGGAGCGTGACCTCAGAGTCCAAGGGACAACTGCTTGAGGCCGGTCTCGCACGGCCTTGTGAGCATTTTCTGAAATGTTAGCTCCGCTCTTGTTTAAGAGGCCTTACCGCTGGAGACGGAAATCCATGAAGTAGGGCGAGGTGTGACAATTTTAGGGTCAACCTTTTCTAACCCTTCCTTCCTTGTGAGGAGGCAGCATCGCTGCAGATCCTGGTTGTCCAAAGGGAAACACCTTGCTGCTGTCACTCCCTTCTAGTCAGCAGTAGGACTTGACCCTCGGATCTTGAGTCGCTGTTTTTAGTCTTACCGTTCTCCAATCGACCTGCCTGGCATGGTAGAACCTTCAGGAACATATGTTCCAGCCAATATAGCTCGGTTGGGTCATGACGATAGGCAAGCCCGACCACCACCACTAGTTAGCAGCTACGGTCGGGACTTTTTACTCGCAATGTTATCCATACCTTGTGTAACTCATTCTATCATGTAGTAAGTTTTGTACCGAAATAAACAGATAAATACTTCTGTACCAGCTATTTTTGCTCGTCAAATCAGTCTGTGGGTGAGTATACACAATACGTATCCCAATAACCTCAGTTGTTGAGGGTATACTACCTCAACAGTGTGTCTAACGCTGGCGTTGCCCACTTGGTAATCTCAACAGATAATCTTTTTAATACTACGTCTTCATTCGCAGTTTCCTGCCATTAATAGAGGCGTTTGGCGTACTTGTTTATATATTCTATTCAAAGTTAATTGTCTTAAATGTCCATATTGCGAAGATGTTAACTACCTGAAGGAAATCTCCTCACCTCATATTCAAACTAAGAAATTCAAACAGAATTTATTACTGATCTATAATAATGTCTTCGATTTAGGCGTCATCAAATAGTTAGATATTTTTTTATAAAGATGCCTTACAGTAGATACAGACTATTCATCTGAAAAAGGGTATATGTTTAAAGTATCATGTTTAAAAATCCTCATGCTTATTTGAAATTCGTTTATCCCATGCGAGATCAGGTCCTCACCGTAACGTAATAACCATCTCACAAATGTGTTCCATGTATACTCTTTTATTATGTTCTCACTAATCTTAGCCGCTTTCCAAAATTACTAGAATTTGTTTGCATGGTACGTCTGTGTTATCCATTTTACCTTATCAATAGGACACGCACCGTAATATTTTTCATATCCATACTAATGACTTGGAATACGATGGTTTGTAATAAGCACTGACCTGTCCTGTTTGGCTCAAATACATATCTCGTTTTTCTTTTAGTGAAAACATACGATACTACTCACCATTGAAGTCCTCATGTAATCAGTAAATGTCGACGATGGTGTTTTAGATGTTACTTTTCGAGTAGAAACTCATTCTTATAAATTCATTAACCTTTAGTTCCAGTGAAGCTAAACTATCATGACGCGGACCTTTCATGCATTTTTGACTTATTCATGTAAACTATTACTCATTAGGTTCATATTATTGTACATTTAGGGAAATAATGTTAGTATGATCAAATTATATATATATATATATATAACGAACTATTTTTATAATTCTTTGTCTTTTTGACTTAAATTTTGTATAGTGACTTACCTCAACATGGTCATAGACAATGGAAAGTTTATTTTGGCCGTACATTCGATGTATACACAAAGTTATGGAAATTTCAACAACAACATAGACAAAAATTAGACGAATTATATGGACTTAAACGATGGCAAATCGGTGAGGTTGCCTCTAAAATTGGACAGTTATACCATCACTATTAGTAAGTTCTCATCATTCCCATTAAACTTCAACTTTTTCTGCTAGTTTACGCACAAGTGACCTGCACTTTCTAAATGAATCATTTGCCTTCTTCTCAGCAATTCGAACTCGTGATTATTACTCGAAAGCTAACAAAGAAGAAAAACCTGATCTAATGATTAAGAAACTGCGTTATTATGCTCGTTTTATATTAGTGTGTTTTCTTCTGGGAAAAATGAAATTGGCAAATGAATTAATAAAAGTATGCTGCTATTCATTTAATTTTATTTATTATCAAATTTAGGAGTTTTCCAAACAAGTTAACGAGTATATTGATATTTATGATGCTGATGATCATTTGGGATGGGTTACAGTGATACAAGAAATGAAAGATTTTGTGGATGGTGATTCGATTTGTGAAATTATAGACTGTGATACACCACAAATTTACACATCAAAACGATTAAATGCTATGAATACTCCACAAATAGATAGACATGAACATGGTCATTTGCAGTTATCCGAAGTACTCATCATCGGGAATTGCTATGATCAAATTCGTTTTAGTGAGTTATCATTGGATATGTATCGTATGCTACAAACATTTGAACGTGATCCTAGAGGTCAAGTTTTGAATAGTTGCAATTCCAGACTTAATGTGGCAGATAGTTTGGAAAATGGTGTTTCTGCAAGTTATCCTCTTGATGTGTCTGAAGTGACAAATCCTCATAAGTATTTATTATACAAACCTACATTTTCACAATTCAATTCATATGTTGCTACAGCATTCAAAGACCTTCCTGCTTCCGGTGCACTATTATTATACATTTCAGCGGACGGTGTTCGAGCTCCCACTGTTAAAACTAATAATGAATGTAAGGATTACTCTATAATTTCTTGATATATTTTTATCTGTGTTTGCATTTTTACGCAATAGGTTTCAACATGACGCCATAAGCATAATTTTGCAGTTAACACTTTTTTGGAATATCTTTACAATGTTAGATATTTAGTAGTAGTAGTAGTAGTATGGTAGTAAGTATTGTTTATCATTGCCCATAAAAGTTTTCACTCTTCAACGAAGTGTATTTGAGAAGGACTGATACTCTCTCTGTAAGATTTATGTGTCAAGTAAGCAAGCAAAGTAATATTTATATTTACACATTTTTGAAACCATCAATCAATCATTGTCAGACCACCATTAGAAACCTGGAAGCACTGGACGGTCGTTTCGTCCTGGTATGGGACTCCTCAGCAGTGCTCATCCACAACTCCTGCACCCCGCAGGATTCGAAACCAGGACCTTCGGTATTGTGCGCAAACGCCCTAACTGTTAGACCACTGAGCCGGTATCCAACGGTGTTAATGTCTAACTTGATCAAATTCTAATGGTGGTCTAACATTGATCGATTCATGGTTTCAAAAATGTGTAACTTAACAATCTTCACAACCCCGTAATGCAAATTTATACTTACATTCAGTTTTTTTTATTACTCAAAACTACATATCAGTCAGCTCGGTATTACAATTATCGAGTAAAATATTTACTAAAATGTAAAAATTTCATTTAGATAGTGAAGTATATCGCTTGTTTCAATGTTTGGATTATTTTAAGAATAAAACGTATTTTATTACACTCTAAATTGTGTTAAATAAATCTATTAGATTTTCTAAATTTTATTAGTGAGGTTTTTTTAAAATTCAATTAATTAACTTTTTTTAAAAGGTTTATTGATGGAAATTTTTGTATAGTGAATCAATGATTCTGTTTTTTGGTTTGTATTGCGCTTTCGTCATTGGATAAAATTGTATACTAGCACTACTAAATAATGAGATTCACTTATGTTCAAGAATGTTCTTTAACAATAAATTGGTATTCTATTCACAATGTTTACTTTAAATAATGTCTAGTTAGTTCTCTGGAAATATTAATTCCAGACTGATAACATTATCGATAAGTTTAATCAGTTATTATTATTGCTAGAGGCGGCCAAACTAAAACATGGCACAAATCCATGAAGTCACTGACAACTAGATTGAGTCATGTTGGTGAATATAGACTACCAGGTAGGGATCCGCGAAATGATAGTGATCGATGGTTAGAGATCGTGAATAACGCGTGGCTGAAAATCGTTCGCAGTTGCACAGGTGCATACATTCATTGTGTTATCTCAAATTGTAACCTTCTGAATTCCTCATCACTTCTATCTCTTCCTAAATTTATTTCACTGAATTATACTTCTTGAATAATATCTTCTAATCCTAATCTTCTCCATTACCGCTTATACTTCTGCTGACTCTATTACTATGGGATTTGAATTGAAAATTGCGACTCTGTGCTAATGTGGTATGGCAACTTATACATATGTACCTACGTATCAAGTTCTACGTTGTTGCTGACTTACTGACTGAATACTGCTAGTACATCTCCCATTATGGGATTTGAATTGGCTATCTCATTTCTCTGTACTAATCTGGTATGATAATTTAAACTTGATTTCTCTCTCTCTCTCCATATATATATAATGTCGATTTAGTTGAAGTGCGATTTCCTAATGTTATCTATCGAATTCGCCATAAGTAGTGACCTTGACCCCGGTAGTTATGTTCTGATTACTAACTAGCTAACTATACAATTTCGCAATAACTTATTTATTTCTTTCGACCTCTGCCTTAAACATCATTCATCATTGACCGATTGTTTGTTGCTGTCATGTATCAGTTTAGATTACTTGTTACATATTCAATGATTATTATGTGATACGGTGATAGGTGGTAGGGTGAGAATAATTATTTCTTAGTTAAACTATATTGAAATATCTATAACTATACAAAATTCACTTTGAGGAAATTGGAATGATTATTTTGTTTTTATGAGGCAATATTTACATGTGTACGTCAATGTTGTGTCGGTTTGTTTTAAGGTAATGAATGTATTTTTTTTAAGTGTAATTTGTTCCAATCTATTTTCTTAGATAAATGTAAATTAATGTTTTTGAATATTTTTTTTTCTCTAGTTGGTCTGAATGAGTCAAAATTTATTTTCAGCTTATTCTTTCAGCCTTTCTTTTTTGTAAACTGATTCAGTCATTGATTGGCCTAACTGTCTGTTTTTGGTATGATGTGATGTTCTGTATTTTGTTCAAATCGACTTGTCACTATGCCCTTATTGTGTATTAGTCACTAAGGTGGCAACTAAATGACTAAGGTCGTGTAGTGTACCCTGTGTGTTGTTAGCTTGAGTTTAATCTAGAAATAGTGTCAGTTGCTATGGTGAAATACAAGAACAATTTATTTCAGTTGCTATGGGGATTAACATCATTCATGTATATTATTAGCTGAGGCATAGATACACAATCGATTAGAGAGTTATTCATGGCAAAGTTATGTTGTAGTTTTATGACGAGTGATGATGATTACATTAATCACACTAACCAGTTGTTTAGTATGTCTGTGTGTTTTCTTGGAAATTCTGCGCATAACCAAATTTCTTTTCATATTTTGCATACAGCGAATGTAGGAGCAGCTGGTTACGATTATGGAGGAGTTGTTACAAACAATCGACATGAACAAGAATACAGTATTAAACCGAAAAGATCTGATTTCAAAGAACCTCATTGGTAAGGTTTTTTGAATTTTTCTCTCGATTATTTCCATGTCATCTTGAAAGTGTTGTCTTGTGTAACCAAAATTTCTCCTGTACAAATTTTCATAGAATAACTTCAGTTATAAGACTATTACTGCAAATTTCAATGTAATAGCTTAACTTCTAAAAAAGTAGGATCATGGTCAAATTTCGAGTCATCAGTCTTTTATTTTATAGTTCAATCAGAATAACACATCTTGGAGACTTATTGCATTTCAAATCCATTCACAGGTTAATGTTATCTAGCTCTGATAGTTAGTTACATGTTGGGCAATCCAGTCGTGTTTACGTAATTTTGATCAATATGACTACTAAATGACAGTATACACTACTCAGTCGTCTTATTAATGTTGAATTAATTGGAAACCGAGTCAACGGACAAAAAAAAACTAGCTAGTGACTTAACATCTAATTATTTAAATTATTATGCAACATATTTTATCTTAGCTCGAAACATCGTCTATAAAGTTCATTAGTGTTGTCTATTAATTTAAGATGTGATTCAATTATAAGATAACATGTATCTCTTGTGCATGATGTCTTTCGTAGTTCCTTAAGTTTCTGCTTCAGACGATAGAATTGTTTTGATGATTGTACTGAAAATTGTGACTTGGGTGTTGGTTGATAGTTGTTTTAAGTTCCAGATGTTCTTCGATTGTAGAAAATACCCTTTCTTACATAAATCAGACCCACCTTGTTTATTAATGAATTTGCCGAGATATATTATGGTTTCTAAACGTTTCAAAGCTTCTCCACCAAGAATGATTATCTTGGTGCATGTTGTGTTGTGTCAAAGTATCTCCCTTGTGTATGTTAAAACCTACTGCTTCAAAGGTTGCAGTTATACTGGCCGTCTTCTCCTCCACTTGTTGCCGTTGATCTACGAAATCCAAGTCGTTCAGCTGCATCCAAACTGTTCACTGTATCCCTTACTTCCCCTGAAATGTTGAAATCTTTATAATCCAGTGAACCAGCGGAAGAAAGAGAAAAGGTGGAAGTAAGCGACCTTGTCTGATACCGGTTTCCACTCGGGATAAGTCTGCGAGCTGCCCTTTATGCACAGTTTTGCAGTATGGTCCATCATAAGAACTCAATATGATCTTGACTAACTTCCCAGGTACTCCACAGTATCGATGCTCATTAACTGATGTAGCTATGATCGATTTGGTTCTGTTTAGTGTGATTCAATGTAACTGATGTAGCTTTGTTTATATGTTTGTGTAGGAATATGGTGCTACCTGTTACCATCTTGTTAAAGGCACTTAGGTTTGTGAATCTTTCATTGTTTGTTGTTCGTTTCTCCCAGTTCATGGCCGTTAAGAGTAGAAGATGTTCGTAGGTTACTAGTATTCGATCATAGATGTTTAAGAAGCATTGCTCGTATACCGTGGGACAACCGAGTAAGCAATGCTGTCGTTAGGAAACGAGTACTAGGTAAGGATGGCAGATCAATAGATGAAGTGGTGAAACTTCATCAGTTGAGGTGGTTGGGACATGTCTTGCGTATGCCGAACCACCAACTGCCTCGATGAGCTATGTTTTGTGGTGTAGGAGTAGGTTGGAAGAAAGCTAGGGGCGGCCAGACCGAAACATGAAGTCACTGACAAGTGGACTGAGTCATGTTGGTAGATAGATGTTGGCTACCTGGTTGGGGTCTGCGAGACGAAAGTCACCAATGGTTAGAGACCTTAAACAACATGGCTCAAAATCGTTTGCAATGGCGCAAGTGCATCCATTCGTTGAGCTCTCTCAAATCCTAATCTTCTGGATTTGTCAGCACTTCTACCTTTGTCTTTCTAACCTCCTAGTCTTCTTCATTACCATTAATACCTCTACTAACTTTATCACTATGGGATTTGATTTGACATCTGCATCTTTGTGCTAATGTAGTATGGCAACATGAAGTGATGTACATACATACGAAGTTCTACGTTGTAACTGACTGACTGACCCAGTTCGTTTCGTCCCATGATGTCTGTATATTTGTTGTTACGCTTACCGATCTTGACGTTTAGTTGTCTTAATAGAATAATCACAACCCTTTGCTGGATCTTTTTCTCCTAGTTCATCAACACTGTCTTGTTAGTCATCATTGTCATTCTGATTGTTCTTGTTCTCTTCGTTTTTTGATGCATTAGGTAGATAAGATAGACAGTAAATTGACTAACATTCCTTATGGACTATAATATTTACTTAGTTGTGTTTAGAATTAGTCAATTATGTATTGAGATCGTGCATTCATTTTTTTGACTAAACTAATCACGTAAATTTAATGAACAAAATGAAGAATTGTTTATAGTCGTCGTCATATTTTGCTTTTGAATGAATCGAAGTTGAAAAACCTCGTTTATTGATTTGTATTTATTTTCATTTATTTACACAGTATTCATCCTGGTGATCTTCTACTCTATACACGTAAACCTCTATTTGTCATTGTTGACAGTGATAATAGTACAACATTTCGAGTAAGAAGTTTTATTTTATTACATGTTCATTTTTATGATGGTTGACATAGAGAGAGAGAGAGAGTGAAGGGCGATAATACTACGTTTATAACTTTAACTGGTTGTTTATAACTCATATGAACTGAGTAAAGTGAAGTTACTTTAACACCCCCACATATAAAGTATGATGATATCAGTAGTAGTGTAGTGAACGAGAACACAGGTGGGGCAACCGAATTGTATTTAACGAAAATTACAGAGTTACTCAGTAAAATCGGAAAACCATATCGTAAATCGTTCATTTGCAAAATATCAGTTCATCATATCGAACTGGACTGTTCATGTTGCAGACAACATCAATACATTGTCACTATTCATGCGTTTCATACAAATTCCATTGTGTTCTAACTCTTCCTTTCTTGATCTTCCCCCATCTTCTGCTGCCAGACATTACGTTGACACTCACGTCATATACTACTATAAGTAGCTCGCACCACAGTAGTAGTAAGACAACTTTTCACTTTCATACTCATTATCGTACTGTAGTGAATATAATCTACATTAATCTTCTTAATTCGTTAACTTCATTTCTAGTTCCATCACTGTTACAGTAATCTGTTTAAGTCTTCATGTAATTACTGAGTACTTTTTGGACATATAAATGTAAAAAAGTATAGTCATCATTCGATTTTTTAAAACGTTACTAAGCCTTTTTACGATTTTATCTTTCATATAGCTACAACAAGGACATTCATACAATAGCTACTACACCTAATCTTCCGCTTATTAGTATAACTTTGCATAGAACTAAATTAGATGTAAGGGTTTCAAAGCTTGATAATCAAAATAAATCTATCATGAAAGCTCCAGGTATGAATAGTATTATGCTTCAATTAGATTTTTCTGAATCTACATTGCCATATGGAGTGTTTCACAGTGTAATAATACATATGATTGTTATATTATATTACTGTATGGGCCAACTAATTTAGTGAGAAAAAATGTTTTGTATTAATTACCAGTTATATATAAACTTTTGAATTGATTTATATTGATGTTTTGTTCTTTCTTAGAATATTCCAAATCTCTTTGGACAACCTTTCGTATGTCTTCTTTCACCTAAAGTTATCCCGGAAAAATTAGAAAGTCAACGACATCGAGGAAATCTATTCACATTATTCTTACATTGTCCATTAACTGCATTTTGTTTAACGTGTAATTTGTCTAAAATTACCTTAAAAACATGGGATCGAGCACAAAGTATCATAGATTCTTTCTTGTCTGAATGTTATCAAGTTCTGATACATTCACGAAGTTTAGGTATGCACTTTTTGTTCTTTTATGTTTTTTTTGTCTGGTTTTTTCTTTATTGCATTGCTCTCTATCCTCTGTATAATTAAGGTTTCGTTTTAATTATTTTAAGCCTTTTTTGTGACTCATTTATCGTATTACTCTGTGATAAGTTCATATTGGTCCTTGAGAAGAGTCAGTTGTCAGTCAGTCAGTCACATGCAACGTAGAACTTCGTACGTAAGTACATCAGTTCATGTTGCCATACCACATCAGCACAGAGATGTAATTGTCAATTCAAATCCAATAGTAGAAGAGGTAGTAAAGGTATTCGAAGTAATCGAAGAGGTTAGGATTAGAAGATATTATTCAAGAAGTATGATTCAATGAGAAAAGTTTAGAAAGACAAAACTAGAGGTGTTGAAGAATCCAGAAGATTAGGATTTGAGAGAACACAAAGAATAAATGTACCGGCGCCATTGCGAACGATTTTGAGCCATGTCATTCAAGGTCTCTAAACATCGATTATTATCATGTCGCGGACACCAACCAGGTAGTCGACAATTACCGACATGGCCCAGTCCACTGATCAATGATTTCATGGATTTCTGCCATGTTTTGATTTGGCCGCCCCTAACTTTCTTCCAACCTATTCGTACACTACAAAACAAAGCTCTTCGAGGCAGTCGGTGGTTAGGCATACGCAACACATGTCCCAACCACCTCAACTGATGAAGTTTCATTACTTCATCTATTGATCGGAGAGTCAGTTAAGTGGGAGGATTTTCAATATTTGATTGTGTTACTATTCTTACAAGCTACTTAAATATTCTCCTATAACTGATAAAATTACTATTTCTATTGTGACCTATTTTCTTAATTCAAGAGTCTCAAATATCATAGGTTTCGAATGGGGTTGTTTTAACACGTATCTAGTGAAATATCATTCAAAAAAATAGCAGACAGCTAAATTAATATAAGCTAACGTGACTAATTTAATGCATTAAGTTATTAAGATAAACTTCCTATTCAAGACGTAGATGATCTCTGTGTCATCATTGTTAGTGGGACATTAATTATTGGATTAAAGCATGATTACGTTATTGCACGCTGATTGGCTCTTTCGTATCCAATCAACGCTAGCCGATACTGAGAGAACTATTCTAAAATCTTCTCATGTATGAAAACTGTAAATATCATACTAATGTCTTTTTCCTTTGGAACTTCTGACTTCCTTCTAATCTTGTTATTGGAATATAATCTCTATTTCCTGTTCAACCGTGTTCTGATTTTGGGAGAACGTCTCGAATGAATTGGTGTCCGATAATACTAAGCATTAGGAATAGCTCGGTTGTAATAATAAGAGAGAATTATTACACATTATAATCATTATTATTATTAATAGTTCATGTATTTGTTTTTGACCTTTCACCAAAACCGATGTGATTTTCCACTGCGATAATAACGTGATTTGAAACGTTTTCTAACCATTATATGTATATATATATATATATATATATTTTTTTTTTTTTCAACATTTAAAATCTGTTTGTAGATTATTCTTATCATCAATTTCTTTCGGATGATTTCCTACGAACAATAATACTACGATATTGTTTCTGTAATATTGTTTTACAACTTCATCGAAGCTTTCATGGACCATCTTTTTATCCATCCTGTTCTCCTTCACTTCCATTATCTGAATTAATTGATTGTCGTATATTGCATAAATTAATTACAGAGTTAGCATCACTTTTTGATTGTCGAACTCTTTTTGCTACTGCAGGTAAATTTCTAGATTCATTTCTTTGCTATTATAGTCATTATTATTTGATTGATTGTACATATATATTATTGATATAGACTACTCATTCATTATAAGGTGGTATGTCGTCTGTCTGATTCAACACAATGATTATATGTGGTACCCACACAAATCTACATTAGTTAATAGTTCAAAAGGCTGATGGAAGACGTAAAAATATAGAGAGCAGCTTATACAGCTCGGATACTGGCGGCAAGCACAACCAATTCAAGATACCACCTCTCAACAATAAGTTCCAAGCCTTTCATGATCTACTTATTCTATGAAGCGGGATCTACCATGGTGAACAACAAGTAGAAAGGGTAAATGTACCAACAGCTTTTGCATCAGAGTAGGCCTCAACATTCATTAAACAGTATCAAGATTCCTAAATATACTACACAGTTCTAGTTACAGAATCCTGGTCGGTGATTATTATTGGCCCGCAAGGTCTAACAGTCGTAAGTAAATAGGTCTTCAATTCGAAGTGTTTACTTGTGCACAAAACTGTTGTGACTTCAGCCAAATGAGTTTATAAATTCCATATCTATTTATATTTTAACTGCTCCCAATCATAAATACTGTGTTTACGTTGCAGCTTTCATATGATTATCATTTTCAATGTGTGTATACTATTATGTATATTTTTGCTATATAAAAAGGGTTTTCCTGAGTGTTATTCGTAAAGAAAGTTGTAAATATTTTGTTTTTCTGATTAAAAAGTACTTACTATAAATTGTTTGCTTTCAATATGAATGAAAGTGGTACTTGAACATTCGTGGAATTGTGATGTATATGTACACAAATTGCAACTTCTAGTTACCACCGCCTTTGTTAATAGCAAAATTTGTAATGCAAAAAAAGAAATAATGACCCACGGAAATCATATTGTAGTGTGAGCTACTTATAAGTAGTATATGACGTGAGTGTCAACGTAATGTCTGGCAGCAGAAGATGGGGGAAGATCAAGAAAGGAAGAGTTAGAACACAATGGAATTTGTATGAAACGCACGAATAGTAGTGACAATGGATTGATGTTTTGCAACAGGAACAGTCAAGTTCGATATCATGAACTGATATTTTGCAAATTAACGATTTACGATATAGTTTTCCTATTTTACTGAGTAACTCTGTAATTTTCGTTAAATACAATTCGGTTGCCCCACCTGTGTTTTCGTTCACTACAATATGACTGGATTTAAGCAGTCGTCGTTCCTTACTTAGACTGTATGGTGGTGTTCGATAATTTCACTTCGTAAGCATCTCGAAAGTATCAGTCCCCTATACATGTGTATCTAGCTCTCCAACGAAACAGAGTTAGTCGGTCAGTCAGTGAATTAGAGTATAATATCACATTATTAAAAGTATACTTTCTTAACATGTTCAATTTTCTCGAATTTTCTCTTTTTTTTTCAGATGACTACACCAAAGATTGAATGAATTGAATTGAATTGCAGATGATAAATACTCTTTTTATCTTATCTCTATATACATATATTTATAAACACAGAGTGCATTTTTATGTGTATATCACAACAACAAAAAATAGTTATCCACTATAAGTATTGTCTATGTTATTATTATTATTATTATTATTATTATTATTATTTCTACTGTTATTCAATACAGTTTGAAAAGATTTGCCTTTATTATGACTTTATTAGTTATCTTTCCTTCTCCTCCTACTCTTTGTCATTAATTAATTATTCTTATCGACGATGTTCTCTCTCATATGATAATTTCATTTCATCTAAAGAAAACATATAATACATAATCTTACAAATTATCTATGGTTTCAATTCATTTATTAATATATAATAAATCAAACTACTATTACTATTACTACTACTACTGTTACCAGTTATATATATATATATGTCTATTACTATTTCATACTATGATTCTTCTTCTCAATTATGTAATGTTATTATTATTATGCTGTGTTGTTTGTTACAAAGTGGTGACAACACACACACACACACATGCATTTTTAAGATAAGATTAATTATAATTCATCTTTTTTTTGCTTTTTTTTTCTCTCTCTCTTTCTCTCTGTTAAAAATCAAATTAAAAACAAGACGCAAAATTTTTAAATGTGGATTTTTGTGAATTTTTTTGTAAAAAATAACTTCACAGACAGTATAAGTATATTTTTCTGTACACAAACACACACTCACACACACACACACACAAAAGAACTGAGATAATGCTATTTGTTTTTTCTTTTTTTTTTATCTTCTTGATGATGATATGGTGCATTCATTCATTCATTCAACAAGACTGGAATTGTATATTATTTGACAATTGATGATGTATTTAATGGTCTACTGGCACCAGCTGCACAACTAAGATATTCAACCCATCTGCAAAATTTATGTGAAGAATTAAAAACAATTAGCAATTAGAGATTTGATGATATTAAGGTTATAATGAATATATATATATATATTTGTGATTCTGTTGAATATATATATAATATGATCGATGTAATCACAAGATATTATCACTTGGCTTTTGTTTTATTTCAAATTTACTCTTAATCTAGTTGTATTCATTGTCTCACTCACACTTCATCGACATACTCTCCCTGTGTAGAATGATGAGTTTTTACCATACGTGTTAGAAGAACATCAACCAATCAGATAATTCTTATTATGTGCGTCGAAGATAATGTAGAGCTTCAGTATATATATATAGACTCGAATATTTTTACTTTGTTCCACCAGACTTATTGCTATGCAAAATACGTATTTAGTATGTAGATTTTTTATAAAACTGAAGTCCGAACAAAATTCCTTGACTAAAGTCATCTATGAAATTGTGTTTGATCGCATCTGCTCGTGTTATGGAAGACACAAGAAATTATTCTGAAAATGTGCTTAAATCTTCTGTAGTATAAACTAGTTACCCTGTGAACTAGATTTTCATATATTTCTCTCTGGATACACTTTTTGTTATCATGCCCTTAGCGGTTGTTCAGAATTTTAGATGACTCCACATGGAACTCAACCAAAGTTAAAGTCTATACGGCTGCCATTATAAATATTCTGCCAGGATAAAATCATATCAGTTTGATTGAAACTTTGTACCTAATAGAATGCCTCTTACCTTGCAGAAGCATTGTTATATCGAGTCATTGTAGTGTCATTCTTCTATCTACTTTCCTTACATTTGCAGAGACTAATTTTTGTTATTATTCACACCTTTCATAATCTCACTTAATTTGCATGATCAGTGTTCTGGACTAGAAAACTATCGTTCTCTGAGCTCAGAGAACGGAACACCACCACAAATACAACGTTACTCATACTACTTTGGTCTCACTAAATCAGCTGTCACATTGGCAAATCATTTATACAGTTGCTATATGCGTCTACAGATCACATCTTTGTCCTATTATTGCTCTAATCACATCGCCATCAGCCACTGATGGAGAGGTTCGATAGAGGACTGTCGCTCGTTCTGGGGCTCATGTCTAGATTCAGACAATACCCTAGTGCGAGCGCGTATTTGTTTGAGGCTTACTGGACGTAGGAAAGACACCGCAAGGAAACCACTTAGGGTTCTGCTTAATGATAGTGAAGCTAAGGATATACTTCAGAAGAAACCGTGGATCTCAGTAGCATCCACCGAACTGAGAGACGCTCGTAAACTCGTCCCACCTGGCTCTAAACATGACGAAGAGCGAAGTTAGCTTAAGGGCTGGTCGATAGAAAGCCTACTCAATGATCGAGAGCAGTGGTGGGTAGAGAAAGCAAGAGCGATGGAAAGGGTAGCGGCGACAGGCAACAGTAGACAGTTGTTCCGACTTATCAAGGAAACAGGTATTAGAAATCCGTCTGTTAGCGAAACTATCTCAGAAAAGGATGGTTGTTTCATACCTTCTCAATCAAGGAGATTGGATCGATGGGCAGAACACTAGGGATCAGTTCGGCTGGCTTTCAGCCACACTTCGGTTGCCGACGATCTCCAGTCATCCTGAATGGCAAATCGACGTAAGCATTACGAATCTTCATGAAGTAGGAAAGGCGAAAGGAAATCTGAAGTAATGGAGAGCAGCAGGACCTGATAAATTGACACCTGAGGTTTTCAAGGATGGCGGGGCAGTTAGACTGACTGAGATCTAAAGTAGAATCTGGGAACTGGACATAATCCCATCCGAGTGCTCTCAATCACTGATTGTCCCAATTTACGAGAAAGGACAAAAGTGTTCTTGTGACAATCACAGTGGTGGGTAGAGAAAGCAAGAGATGGGGAAGGCAGTTGTTATAGGCAACAGTAGACTTATCAAGGAAACCGCTATAAGAAATCCGAATGTAAGTGAGACTATCTCAGAAAAGGATGGCTGTATCATTCATTCTCAACCCAGGTGATTGGATCAATGGGAGGAGCATATTAGGGATCAGTACAACTGACCGTCAACCACACTTCGGTTGCCCACGATTTCCATCCAACCTGAATGGCGAACCAACTTAAGTACTCCGAGACTTTATGAAG